TATACAGAAAATGATAATCTTTCATCACAAGTTCAACCTGATACCGAACGTACAGGAAATGAATCCCTACCAACCCAGAATGCATGAAGAATATGAATTACCTTCCACAGGTAATGAAAGAAATGACATTTCTTCACCATTGCAACCTGATATCGAACAAATAGAAGATGAACCCCTATCAGAACGCGAAAACCTTGAAGATGACACCGTTCACTCAAATGCTGAACAGAATCCTGTTGTAGCAATCCCAGTAGCGCAATGTGCCGTGAACCGAGGGCTGAATCAGTTGATTATAAGCTCAGTTCTCCACTCTCCGGTCAAACCCAAAACTACCATTCTACTCGAGAAAAAGATGAAGATTCATGTACAAATATCGCAAAATAATACAGAAAACGATATTTTGAATTTTATCAAAGAATACGTCGCCCCAGGAGTGCAGTACCATGTCTATTTTGAAAACCCTGGTTTCGGCAATAATTCAAAAATATTTCAAGTGGCCCTCTATAAAAGACGAAAGGTGTATCAAATAGCCTCTGGACGTTACAAGAAAAAAGACATTCAAGAAATTATCCAAACCCACCATGAAGGTAAGTCCAACCACCGCAGTGTTGACGAAACTTTCGTAAGAATTAAGGAAAAACATTACTGGCCAAACATAAAAGAAACCATTCAAACATATATTAATCAATGCCTTACTTGCCAAAAAAGCAAATATGAGCGAAACCCCATCAAAATGAAGCTCAACATCACCCCTACAGCAACCAAACCTTTCGAAATCATACATATGTATACATTCACTATAGAAAGCACAAAATTTCTCACAATCATAGACACTTTTTCAAAGTACGCACAGGCATACCTAGCCAACTCCTCGACAGGTACGGAAATAGCCGTACCTGTCGAATCTCATTCAATTTTTTTCTCATCATGATATCCCCAAACGAATTATCGTTGATAACGGTACTGAATTAAATAACTTTCTCATTTCGGAACTCCTGGTTTTACACAAAGTCGAAGTTCATTTCATATCACCACACCATCCACAATCCAATGGAATGATAGAACGGTTCCATTCTACCATTCTTGAACACATTCGTCTACTCAACACTAGACGATTTTTAAAAACCCCTCCAAAAATGAAATTGTTGTATGCAATTTTGGCATATAACCACTCTATACATTCGGTCACAAAATTCAAGCCAATTGACATCATAAGTGGTCCCATTTCAACAAATGATCCTTTCAATATTGAAATTGATCGAAAATAAATGATTACACCAATGATCACAAGGAACGATATTCCAAAATAAACTCGAATCTTATAAAGCGAAAGGAAATGAGAGTAAAACGAGAAAATAAAAAACGCGATGATCTCATTGTATTCAAAACTAAACAAAAAGTTTTCGTGAAAAAACATAGACAAAAGGATGCAAATAAATTTCAAAAACCGACTCAAATCGAAACAGTCGATCATACAATGAAAACAGTTTCTACAGAAAACCAACGAAAAATTCACATGGACAATTTAAAACGTCCCCTCAAAAAATACCCATCTCCCATTAAAAATTGTTTCAGATCATCTGGAACTCTCGAACTCCAGGAAAATAAATCTGAACAAAACTTGAAGAGCAATCCAGGAATTATTCCTCTCAAACTTGGAACAGCCGAAGTCGAAACGCACGCATATTCACTTATTCATTATTATGATTTGAATCAAATAATCACAGAGGTAAATAAACTGAAAATCCACTCAAAAAATGTAAAGACTCTTGTACGCGGTTACAATGACTACTGATGGGACATAAAAATATTACAATTTTCGGAAAAAAAGGTGACTCAACAATATTTTACCGCATCCACTCAGAACAAAACGCGGTCTTATAAATGGCGTTGGATCCATTTTCAAGTCAGGAAATTTAGATTCCAGCGATGGTGAAAAATATGACAGTCTGATCAATGAATTACAAGATAATCAAAATAATCTAGTAACAAACATCAAGAAGCAATACTGACTCTCAATCTCAATAATTGGTCAGTTCAATAGTACAGTTCAGCAAGTGAAACATGACGAAAGGCTTTTGGAATCAGAAATAAATCAAATAGCAAAAATTGTTGAAAATCAAACGTATAAAGAAAACTCTATGTTCATCAAAGATATCATGAATCAGATAATCAATACCTTTGAAAACAAATTCAATTTTGCAAGATGTTGAAAACTCAATATAATTTTCCAGATTGAACATTCTTCATCCTAGTATAGTAAAAACAAAAGATTTGTTCAAGGAACTGAAAAAATTGAATAGAATTGTTGAGAAAGACCAACGTCCTATGGAAATGAGTTACGAGAATAATTTACTTCATGAAAAAATCATAAGCCTTAAAAGCCATATATCAAATTTCAGAATGAAGGGGCGTCCATAAATTACGTGAGGTGTTTTTTTTAATTTTCTGTCCCTCCTTCCCCCCCTGGTGAGATGTCGTGAGATTTTACTCAACCCCATCCCCCAATCTCACGTGAGATTTTTTAAAATGTGGGTTTCTTACGTAAACACGTTGGATGGTCATTGTAAAAAGAAAAAAAAATTGCTTCGTGCTTTTATTTACGACTAGTTAAGACTAGTAATCAATATTGCTGAGAGTTTAATTATGAGTGTAATAAAAATTTAACAATTCTTCGGGAATTTTTGCTTCGCTATATTCCATATTTTAATCATATCGTCCTGGCAGGACTTCTTCGTCTTATAGACGTATTTTTTGACGTATGCGTTATAAAAATCTTGATAACTCATTTTAAATTAGTAAGAGCATGCACTGAGTCGAGTAAAACATTTACAAGAATAAACAAGGCAGGTTGGAACCTGTCCGTGTGTCGCTGCCACTCAGCTCGTACGCTCTCGTTCATCGAGTCGCGCGTTCGGCTGACGCGAAAACAAAGGACGGGCTAGACTGTACCGTAAATTCAGATTAAATTGAGCTATTTGGTATAGAACAAATATGGTGGTTTGACAGTCAGTAGATGTATAACGTCAAAGTATGTATGAAATTATTTTTTTTCGAACTGATTAGTGAATGATTTTAATCGTATTACGATTACGCTTAAGATTAAAACTCAAGCATGTACAATCTGGATTGAATGGACCAAAATAGTAAAATCTTTTTTTGTTTCAATCAGAAAAAAATTGCGTGATATTCGCCGGGACCCCCCTCTCTCCAACGTAAGATTAGATGAGATTTGACTCGACCCCCTCCCCCCCTTAAACACCTCACGTAATTTATAGACGCCCCCAACCTATATCTTGCATATTCCATTTACCCATTCCTTAAATTTCGATTACTATCACCTATTTTCTATTCCGATATTAACTAAGGGCCAGTTTAAGGCTGTTGTACCCCAAAATAAATATGTGTCAAAAAAACGAAAAATTGTATGCATTCTTGAGCGAATCTTGTTTGAAGATCTCCCATCGAACCTATATCTGCCCGTCCACTAACATCAGAGAGCTGACAGAAGACAATACATGCGAAATCCAGCTACTCAATGTCCAGAACACCTCCACTTGTAAGAAGACAGTCATACATTTATCGAGACCAGCCATCAAACAACTAGACAACTCAAACAAATAGGTTGTCCTCCTACTGGCTCAACAAACTACCAAACCCAAGTGCCAGAACCAGAACGAAATCGAGAACCTACTACCTGGAAGTTATCTTTTCGACATTCCAATTAGATATCAGTTATCCTGTGGCAACCAAAGCATAACCAACGATCACCAAGTTACCAATAGTGAACCATTCATCTTACCAGACTTGAACGAAGGGAAGCCAGAGCCACCCAAATCAATAGGGAGCCAACTTGATGACCTAAATCTAGACGAACTTCATTCATTAAAAATAGCAATAATGAAAAACGAACCGATTATATCATTCAAAGACGTAGCATACATTTTCTAATCGCTTTAGTGAAACATTTGAGTACTACCGTTATTCACAACTTCCACTTCACGCCAGGATTTCCAAAATTTCGAATAACCCAATACTAAATCTGAACATAAAGATACCTCCTCCATGGAGGTATCTTTATGTATCCTGACCCATTATCCCAAGAATGGTATTTCTAAATTTCCAAAATTACCTAGCACTCTCTCGAAAACATGAGACAATTCTAACCCGTCTCAGGATTGGCCACACAAGGTATACCAACCAGCATCTACTGAAGAAAGAAAACCCCAAAAGATGTATTTCCTGTGATGAAGAATTAGATGTGAAACATTTCATCAAGGTGTGTCCTGACTACAGAGAGGAGAGATTGTCAACACGACTACCTGAAGAACTCGGTGATGCCTTGAATCCCGATAAATTTGAGATTTTACTAAAGTATCTGATATCTATAAATATATGATATGATTGTGATATGATTCAAATTGTACTACACCGCTAATAACCTTTGTAGTTGATGCGGTTATATTAAATAAAAAAAAGACGTAACACATATCCCAAGTTTTTGGACGATGTTTATCTACCTGGTCCTAGTATCAATTTGTTTGTACCTATTGCACAAGAAGATTAGCTTCAGAGAGTGCAAAACCAAGGGACTATCCGAACCAAATCAGGACATCGAAGTGTCTAGGGTTCAACTTCCTCGCTGACCCTCCCACGTTGAATTTTCGAGGGAGGAATTATATCGCCCATTCCCATATGAACCGCTGACCATACTGATGCAGAATCTCGCGATTTTGGGAAAGTGATGTGCAAGCAATCTTATATTCATGTGAGGAATACTTTCATAATTCAACCTTAATTTTGCTCTTATACTGTTAACACCCATTTTGGTTAATAAAGTTTAATTTTCAAGAAAGGATTTTGACATCCGAAAAAAAAACTTGTAATATTATTATTAATTCAATAATTCAATAAGGAATAATGTAATAAATGTTCAATCTGTACGATCAGTATTCCTTTGATTGAAATTTGACCCATTAGATAACCCTTCTTCTCTTTATGTATATAAGAGACAGATTCCTTGATTCTGCATATTCGTTATTACTGTAATCATGAAACTCTGCTTTGGTATCGTGTTGGCTGTTACAGTTTTGGTCTTGGTAAGATTCACAATTATTTTCCAATGATGAACGATTTTTTATTTATATTTTAAAATGCACTGTATTTTTTCATTATGAGTTTTTGCAATTTGTTAATCAAAACAGGGACATGGTGAGTGAATCATCAAAGTATATATCTAAAATTTATTTTTTACGATAGCTCGTATTTCGATTTTAAGAAACTCTAGAAGTATTTTTGATAGTTTCGATTTTCTCAGTTTTTAGTCCAACTCGTTTCCTATCAACAAAATTTTTCAATTCGGTTATATCGATTGAAACTAGTAATAGAGAAAAACTCATATTACATTATTCATAGACGAACAAAATTTTTTCTAAGACAATTTTGGATAATTCCCACCGTGTGAATG